GGCTTAGATCAAATGCGATATGGACACTTTTTGAAGTGGAGAAGGGGTTGCAGGCCGGGGTATTGTGATATCTGTTCATTATATCTTCCTTTTTATTCTTGCCTTTATTTTTCTCTTCTCTTTTTCTTTTCCTTTCTTTTTCTTTCACCTTCTTTTTCTTTCCCTCCCTCTCCCCTTTTTCTTTTCTCTTCTTACCCAGCCCGGTACGACGTCTTGGTCAGCCCGGTAAAACCGTCAGGGGGGACAGTCTGCCCCCTGCCCCCCCCCCGCCTGTTACACCACTGCTTATAAGATGAATGGGAATATGAATCATGCAAATCTGGAATCAAATCTAGGTGGTGGGGTCAACATTTCTCCCCCGGGAAAATTTTGATTTCTAGATGGCGGGAAATGACCTTTCTCGACTTTTGAGCTAGGTGTCTAATGACTTTGTTCTTCAAAATTCAAGGTTTTCCCCCTCATGAAAACGGTAATGTAAACTTTCTCATTACAGTAAATAGGCCTGTTATGTGTGATACATACATTTAAAAAAAAATGAGTAGTTGCATACGATTTTTTCCATGAGATGAATCCCAAAGTGAAAGGAGGGTCCGGGGGTTCTTCCCCAGGAAAATTTTGATTCCTAAGAAGGCGGGAAATGAGCTTTCCCGACTTCTGTGGTATCTTTTAATGACTTTTAAATTTTTCAAAATTCAAGGTCCCCCCTTGAAAATGATTCGATTAATCAATGAACTCCAAAGATAAAGGGGGTCCGGGCTCCCCCGGAAAAATTTCGATTTCTAGATGGCGGGAGATGAGCTTTCGGTATACAGTAATACACAAAAGTAAAGCCGATGAAACCCAGGAGATAATATACCAAGTATGATATTGAGATGCCATGACGAATACGGATCTGATGACGACGACATTAATGACGTAATATCTGTCTCTTATACACATCTAGATGTGTATAAGAGACAGGCTTTTACTGTTAAAAGACCAAGTCTTATGTAATAAGCAACAATTGTTTTAAACAAATGAGAACATCGAGAGGTGAGAAAATGGAGACAAACTCATGGAAATGGAACAAAATGTCGAAAGAATGACGTAAATAAAAATTGATTATTTTTTTTGGTCATATAATTATCAATCCAACAAAAAAATATAACCGATGCACAAACAAATAATTGATTTATGAATTTAAAATCAGTTATTAGGCCCACAGAAGCGTTCACATCACAGAGAAGGCCTATATCAAAAATATATTTTATAAAAAATCATTAACAGAGTGTTTGGATACAAATTTATCAATCTGGAAAACATTATGGCTCTTTGATTTAGATATTTCGGATTAGCGAACCGTCAGTGTGAGTGTTTCCATGTCATTGTAGTCCTTTCAGTCCGGGATTTTATATCACATTGTGTAGTATTATGTAATTGTACTTGGTTTATTTTCATTAGCAAGAAACACTATTCTTTTCTGAATTGTGTACACGTTCATGGAACCAACGACTTTATAATTATATACTGCCACCAGAAAAAGAAATTCTCTCAAAAATTAAAATATAGATATTTAAATCATTTTTAGGAACTTCCAGTAAAAAGTCAATGATACAAAGACGTTTTACTACTAAAATTCTTTAATGTGTTAATAGGTTTATTTTTTTTAAAGTGAACATAAATATTAGGGGTGTATATCGTCAACTTTCTTTTTTGAAATGCGGCGTACTATACTTGCGTTTCAGCTCTTCAGTTGAAACGGAAGTTAACACGCCGTCACACAAAATAGCAGAGATAGAATTGAAGCAAGCACCGATACGGAGGATCTGAATAGATCCATGATTAGCTTACACGAAGTGGTTACCACCAGCATACCGATTCTACCTAATAGATCTGTTAAGTATCAGTTTCGGTGACATTGCCATTCATGATGCCGTCACCAAATCTGATTAGGGGATTCTGATTTAAAACACATCGCCATCCATTCGACGTGCCTTAGGCCTATTAGTGCAGTGGTAATGGCAGTCATGTACAGTCCTTGCTGAAACCCCTGTTTAGTTTTGTAGGTGTAGGGGACCCTTGGGTTCCAACTTAAAAAAGGGCTATGAAAGTTTGTTGGAAATCACTTCTAGTTTATGTGTACACAATTTCCTGCACGTCCGTTCAAAACTGGCGACGCTGGACGCTTTTAAAGTTCGTAACAAGAACAAAAACAACAGTGAGGCTCACGGGTCAGCGCCTTGCGCGGACTCAACAAGTGAAATATAATAATATTCTATGCTGGGACTGCGTCACTGTTATAAAGCCCGCCCTCGGTAAACTTAATATCGATTAGATACTAGCTGCCTGCTCTCAGCGGCTTTGATGGCAGCTTTAATGGAAATGATCAATGGTGATCGTTTGTAATGAGGGCATGTCTGGTCTGAAACGTTCACTGAGACTGGGACTGAGATACTTTTCAAGCCTTCCGATATATGTACCGTTAAGGTAGGTTTATATTATACTCTTTAGGTGATTATGTCATGCAGTTTTGATAGGCTTTTTTTGTGATTGGATCGAATAGAATTCAGTTTGTGACATGTCAACAAAACTTTTTGTTTTAACTAATAGGCCTGTTTACTTATTAAATCGCTTCGACAGAACACAACAAAGTCCGCTTTTTACAGAGTGGTAATGATGAATTATATTAATTCGATTGAAGTTCAGCTCAAATATATAATCGCTAGGCCCAGCTAAAATATGTTTAGTTTAAACGTGCAGTTGTTTTGTCAATTGGTTCTAGTAGATGAACCCTTTGAATAAAAAGACGAAAGAATAATAGCATCCTTTAACAGAGTCGGGCCTCTTTTGTGTCTCTGTTTGCACTACCGGCTACCCATTCTTTGTTGCCAATGCATTTCTGATCCTCTAACCATAAGTACGGTATACAGTAATACACAAAAGTAAAGCCGATGAAACCCAGGAGATAATATACCAAGTATGATATTGAGATGCCATGACGAATACGGATCTGATGACGACGACATTAATGACGTAATATTGAATCCCAACACGATGAAATGTATTTTAATACTTGCAGTATGTATTACACTTTCAAATAGGGACGTACGTCTCTCTATTTAAAATTCCAATAAAGAACCAAACAGCATTCTACTGTTATAAAGTTGCATACTAAGCCTGTGTATAAAATTAAGTTATATATTGTCCTTGCGACACGAGATCTATGTTAACAAATAAGATTGTCCGCCACATTTAAAGTCCGATATATGTGATTCAATATTATCAGTCAATATTTTGACAATAAAATCGACAATGAGAATTTATGAGAAACAAATCATACTTTTCATATACACTGACGAATATGTCTATTATAGTTTTCCATTAATTGATATTGTATGTTCCAAACCTATTATGTCTTGTCCAGTTAAGTTTATACAACCTATCAATCAAGATAAACTGCTAATATATGTGTTTCACATGTTTTATTTGAAATATAACAAAATATAAAATAAAAATAAAATAAAATAATAAAAAATATAACATATAGACATATGCTTTGCAGTATATTTATGTATAAATCAATGACCAAAACCAGTCTATATTTAATAATTATGTGTTATCCTCGATAACTGTTTTTATTGCTGTTATTTTTAGTATTGCTAATTTAAATTATATTATTACTTTCATTATAACTACTAATATAACTATTATTAACAACTATTAATATAAAGTTGTTTTATTATTATTATTATTTTTATTAATAAAAGTTATGATAATACTGAAATTCTTTACTTTTTGCTGAGGCTTGCCATCTCCCACCCCTTCCTCCCCACCCAAAAAGATAAATAAAAAAACGTCGCTAATTGTTAAACTAAATAGCATAAGAATGTGGCAGTAGGCCTACTATATACTTTAATTCAGAGAAGCAGTAATACTTTCCTTTGGCAATTTTTAAGTCGATTCCAGTAAATAATTTATCATTTTAAAGCTTACAATGTGGAGAATAGGATTTTTTTTTAAAGTCAATTTTCTTGTTTTGGTCACTGATACTGGTTTTGGCATGACAAGCCCGGTTGTTAATGTCACTATAATATAATGTCATTATAATATAATGTCACTATAATATAATGTTTCATTTTATTATTGTTGCTGTCTGTTATTGCTTATTAGTATTATTACTGGTATATTGTTATACCCTTTGTCATTATTACTATTATTATAATTTTTTCTTTTAGCTTTTGGGGAATCAATCACAAAGCCAATTACGGCTTAATGATCCTCCATCCTCTTGTTGAATTCTCCCTAATTGTTTAATTTTGTCAATTTTCATAATTTGTGAATATTCGGTTATATTCTTATGTTCAAAAGGAAAAATTAACTTTATTTGATTTGAAATACATTTTACTTTAAAAAGAGCCATATTTTTTCTGTCTTGTCTTGTGAAAACATATCTATTTATTTTTACAGAATCAACAAAGAGATATAATGGTGCCATTTAGGTAAGCTCTATTCAATAATAGAATAACTAATACAAATATTATTATTGTTATTATTATTATTAAGTAACAATACCGCTAATAATAATAACATTCATTTTATATATTATGCCTCAAAACATGCACAGTGAAGAAAAACGAACACAAACAGGAAGAGACATGGTTCCTAAAAATTAAAACAAATCACTATTTTGTTAGGTCTCCTATGTATAAATGAGATTATGAGATGAAATAACAGACGGCATGTCTTAAAAACAAAGATGGCTTGGAGAAACTCAGTTTCGAACTTCTTCCAAACCGTATCTACATCATTTAAAAGAAAACATGGCTCCCAGTTGATTTTTTTATAACATTTTCCACATCTATCTTGGAATTATGTAAAAAATAACATGCATAAAGAGCGTGATTTACAAATGCCAAATTAAAATTAATAAATATACAATCATGGCCACTACCTGTTAAACCTAGTGGGAGTGGGGGTGGGGTGGGGTGGAGCTATCAAATCAAACATATATCTATTTTGTTTACATATACATGATCGATTATGGTACCATCAATACTTTTATTACTAAAACAAAATACTATCGACAATATTAGTATTACCAATAATTATCTTATTATTATTACATTTTATCTTTTTTAATTTTGTATTGGGCATCATAAAAACATGTATTATCATTATTTATCGTTATAGCACTTATTTTGGTCTTGCTGTGTAAAGGCCAACTCAGACAGCGTCGTACGACGCGGCCCGACGCGATTTGTTGTCGCGTCGGGTCTGTGTGAGTTGA